ATGGATACTTTTTCTAGAGTATTTCACTCGCATGAACTATTTACTTTAGCCCTTGAAAAAAAAAGAAAACATTAAACATTAAATTATAGCTCAAGTATACAAAATATAAAAAAAGTGTCAGAAATATGAACAAAATTTGCGACACTCCCATCGAACAGGGACATATGCGTATGCCACCCGCTGGCCAGAGATCAACCCTCCCAGCTTCCTGAGCCGGCTCCCTGCTAATTTGTTCAATTTGTCGAGTGCGAAACAACACAAAAAAGAAAAAATATGATGAAAATTGCCGGCACAACGCCGCTTTTCCGCCCTCCCGCTGATCCGAATGGGAAATATTATTCCTGCAAATAAAACAGTAGGCAGGGGTTTCTGATAGGGCCATATCATGTCGCCGGCGGATGCATAAAAGTATTTCAGCATTTAAATGCACCGCACACGGGTGTCAGTTTCCATTGGATTGGCTTGGTTAGGCTTGGGCTTGGGCTTGGGCTTGTGCTAACCGGATCACATCCTGGCCGCAGGACATTCGCCTGCTGTCAACCCACTTATCGCAAGGGGCACTCTCTATTGCCCCCGGGCCAAACATCTGTCCAGAAAAGGCAGCGAAACAAGAACAAGTGGCTGCAAAAAGGCGCAACCCGTCATTAGCGGCTCGTAAAGTCGCCTCCGAGGATGGGCGAACATCGTAAAGAGTCTTAATTGAAGGCGGCATAAATCCAAAACTGATTGATAATTGCCAGCACAATGGGAAAAGCGATTCTAAAGGCCATTTATGGTGCAAGTAGATTTCTTTTTTCTGCAAAGGGAAACTGCAAAAGTGATGGTTATTAAATGAAAACTCATAGAAATCATAACATTCTTACATAATAATATAAATTATGGATTTCCTTGCTGCTAGTGAAGATTTTCTCTCAGTGTATAGTTGAACATTCCATTAATTAATCGATTCCTCCTCTCGTTACAGCTTCTTTCTCAAGTTCTTCTTGAAGTGCAATCAAAATTGTCTGAAAAATGCCGGCAACCCGCGGGACATGCGTCGTTTTCAGGTGAGTTTAACTGCTAAATCTTCTCCATCGATCCATATTAACTGTTTAACGATTTTTGTTATTCCTATGATTAGGTGGTTATTTCCACGCAGGTGGCTGTGGATGGACCACTTTTGGCCATCTCCGACAACATGTTCGTGCACAACAACTCGAAGCACGGACGGAGGGCCAAGCGTCTGGACACCACGGAAGGTACAGGCAACACATCCCTGTCCATTTCCGGTCACCCCCTAGCGCCCGACAGTACCTACGATGGTCCGTAGCAAAATTCCAATTATTCCGACCAATTTTTTTCGTTTTACGTAGATCCAAGAAATCCCCCAAAAACCCCACACCACTTTTTAATTTTGTTCTCGTAGCAATTGGCATATCCGAAACGAAAGCATCTTTGAGATAAACTTAACTAACCCATCAATCTCTGGGATATATTTTACAGGTCTCTATCCACCGCTGCCAGTGGCCACGCCCTGCATCAAGGCGATATCGCCCAGCGAAGGCTGGACAACCGGTGGCGCCACCGTGATCATAGTGGGCGACAACTTCTTTGATGGCCTGCAGGTTGTTTTGGGACCATGTTGGTCTGGAGTGAGCTGATCACCTCGCATGCGATCCGTGTTCAAACACCACCGAGACACATTCCCGGCGTGGTGGAGGTGACGCTATCCTACAAGAGTAAACAGTTCTGCAAGGGATCACCCGGTCGCTTTGTCTATGTCTGTAAGTGGTCGCTGCTCCATAATTACTTAACTTGTCTCCATATCTAACCTTTTTGTTAACGCTTTAAGCAGCTCTCAACGAACCCACAATCGACTATGGTTTCCAGCGCCTGCAGAAGCTCATTCCCCGGCATCCTGGCGATCCTGAGAAGCTGCAAAAGGAGATAATACTCAAACGGGCAGCTGATTTGGTGGAAGCTCTGTATTCCATGCCCAGGTAAGAGCATCGCTAATACCTTAACTAGCCAACGGAAAACTAATACCCAACCCGTGTTATAGCAGATCTCCGGGTGGCTCGACGGGCTTTAACTCATATGCCGGCCAATTGGCGGTCAGTGTGCAGGATGGTTCGGGTCAATGGACCGAAGATGACTACCAGCGGGCTCAGTCGAGTAGCGTAAGTCCACGTGGTGGCTACTGCAGCAGTGCCTCGACGCCGCACAGTTCGGGAGGATCGTATGGGGCCACGGCGGCGAGTGCAGCAGTGGCTGCCACGGCAAATGGTTATGCACCTGCTCCCAACATGGGCACACTCTCATCATCGCCCGGCAGCGTCTTCAACTCCACGTCAAGTAAGTTCTTGGATCCTTGGCTATAATGTTGGTGAGGGGGAAAAACCATCTTATAGGCCGACTACCTTTCGGGAATTCTCAGTAGGATCAGAAGACTTAAAAAACTTAAGTAAACCAAATTTTCGGAAAAACAAAGAGTTTTAAAACTAGACTTATTCTTGAGATTAAATATGAAAGATAGTCAAGATATAGGAATTCACTTTATAAAGCAAGTTCTTTGTAACCCATCAAATATCCAAGAAACCTATGAGGATCTCAGCTACCCATCATCTCTTGCTTAAGAAAGCATATCCAACCATTAGAATCTCTGCCTTAGATTTCCTTTATTTTTATTAAAATCTTTAGTTGATTTTAGCTTATGTTTGTATAACTCTCACATGAATACCGCCCCCACATAAACTGCAAAACGCTCTCGTCTCTCCATATCCCCCCGAATTTTCCCCCCGTTTTCCCGCCCCTTTCCCCAACGAAACCCAAACAAAGTGAACAAAGTATGCTCAGCAAAGTGCATTTTCGCCATTAATTCCAACAGTGTCCGCCGTGTCGTCGACGTGGCATCAGGCGTTCGTGCAGCACCATCATGCGGCAACAGCCCACCCGCACCACCACTACCCACATCCCCATCAGCCGTGGCACAATCCGGCCGTGTCAGCAGCCACGGCGGCGGCCGTTTAAGCGTTTGCCCGATGACTTCCATGCCAGCTGGAGGAGCTGAACGGAGGATGAGGATGAGGAAGATGACCTGGGATGAGCTGGACATTTTCGGGGCAGAGTAACGACATTTTGTTGAAATTAAATGCTTCACGCCCAAAACACCATCCACAAATCCACCCACAAAAGCGAGCACACACACACCCACACACATATGGCCAGACACCATCTATCAATCCGAATCTGCAAGGACGCCCACAAATGCCGAATGGGTGGGTGGATGGATGGGTGTGTGAACGAAAAGGGGCAGCAAAAACAAATCTGAGCATTCAAAACACACTTCCACCATCAACAAAACACCACAGACAACACACGATTAACGGTATTTATAATTTCTATTATTACTAAGATTAAAGATCCCTTAATATTTGTAAAAAAAAAACTAAAGCTTATTAATTTGTGTTTATTTTATATAAAAATATCATTACTTGAACTTGTAATCCCTATAAATTAAAAGCCCTTTACCCTATAAAACCTATTAAAAGAAAATCCTTTATAATTATTTTCCTTTTAATCTATTTCTAGGGGTCAGCAGCCTGAGTTTCAATCCCTTCGCCCTGCCCACCTGCAACACACAGGGCTATAGCACCCAACTGGTGACGTCAACCAAATAATATTACTACTAAATGAGGCTATTGGCAGGCCCCCAAATCCCCTCCTACGAGTCCCCAAGATACCACGCCAATCACAAGAAGCTCGAAAGTGCAATAAACAAAAGAAAATGGTTCCAAAATTCAAAAAGATCTATTGATATAGTTGTACATTTTTTGATTGAATTCTCCCCCCGTGTTTTTTAATTTAATTTAACTACGCCTCGGTAATAGATTTATACGAATACGCATAGAATACCCATATCGAAGTAAATACAAAAAACATATGAAAATGGAAAAGGCATATCATGCTACCCACAACTTAAGATCGGGCAAATATAGTTCTAAAAAAAATAGCTTGATTAAAGACATTTTGTAAATATCTATCCCAAAATAAAACAAAAAATAAAAACTAATTAATAATCGGAACTGTGAATAGAGGAAATTATACCAATTTATATACCCATGATGATCGATCAATACTAATACGAATCAAGATATACCAAAACAGATACAATTTGAACGAACTTTTGGACATAACTAAATGCTTGTATACGATACTTTCTTGGATTAATATCAAAAAAAAAAAAAAATAATAAAAAACCAAAAGTCTTGGATATACACACTCTGCCAATTGAGAGAACCGAAATCAAAATGTTATATACCTACATAGATATACAAGCCACATATTCGAGGTGACATCTGCAGCATATCTAGCATAATATTACAAAGAAATTTATACCAAACTTTTGGCAAACATATCGTGCACTTAGTCCTAATAACCCACATACACATCACATACTCCAACATATTTGTATAATCCACATCCATCATATCCACAATTCGAAATTCATTTTGAGCGATACCCTCTCTATCAACACCAAATCATCATAAGATATATAGATTCGCTATTCAAGTCAGAGTGTTTGATAAACTACCGATTTGTTGACTAGAATCTAAGCTAATCATACACACGCAAATGATATCTGGGGGTGCATATACTATATATATACATATATATATATATATAGGCTTAAGTTTATTGTTTATTGCTCGATTTGTAGGAGTTTTACTGTAATTTGTATTCGTATTGTATTATAATGTATGCTTGCACTCCTAGATCTAAAAAAATAACGAAAAGAAAATGGTTAGCTTCGCAACTGGGAAGCTCAGCCGATACGATAGTGAAGCATATCTATAAGAGAACCGCATAAACAGCAGAACTTAGCCGCAAAATCGATTTGTAAATTACAATACAATAATTTATAATAACAATCTAGCAACGCTCTCTGTTTTGTAAATCTTAACAAGTTATTTAAATAAAATTTATTTAAAATAAACGTAATACACCATGGAACCATGGAATTCTTGTTCTTACTACGTCGTACAGGTTTATTTGCGTTTTGAGTAAATGTAAAATGTGGAAAATAAATTGAAACATCGAAATATTTGCACTTGATAGAAGAGCATAAATTAAATGAATACATAACATATGTATATATTTTTAACCTAGATAACGACATGCAGAGATGCCCTATTTTTCTGTTCCTCTCCTCGTTTCCTTAATCCTCTGGGTATATGTAATAGAGTTGCTCCTACTCATCTTTTGTGGGCGCTCCGTCCTCGCTCTCCTTGAACAGTATCTCCTGGATCTTGGCACGCACGTACATCTTACGACTGAGCGACAGGTGTCTCATCATTGGCACCAAACTAAGGGCAAAGTAGTAATCATCATCCTTGGTCTGCTCCTCGTGATTTTGTTGGATAATATAGCTAAGCTGCTCGCTGACGGTGGTCAGTCTGTCGATGGACGTTTCCAGGTTGTTCTTCAGCTGCTTGGCCGCATTGCTGCCAGACGTGGAAGCCACCACAGTGGCCTGGCCCTGGGCAGCTGCACTAGGTCTGCTGCTCCCACCGCCGGTGGCACTCGAGTGGCTCAGAACGGTGACTTGCTTCTCCCCCTGCTCTAGGGCTTCGTCTTCCATCACGTGTATAGGGCTGTAGCACAGGGGATCCTCGCTATAAATAATGTCCTTGATATCCTCACTGATCTCATCGTTTTGCTCGTACTCCTCCCACTTTTGTGGCAATGCACCAGCCTCGCCAAGATAACTGGCAACGTTTGACTCGATCTTCGGTTTGGCCACGCGCAGCGGTTCCCTTAGTGTCTTGGCCTTGGTAATCCTCACAGTTTTTTCTGAAAGCAAAGGATGGGAGTTGGGCATTACGATACATATTGCTACAGCTGCCAAATAATAACAAATATTATCCAGAGATGGACGTCAACGATAGTTTCCCGCCGTCCCAAGGGGTCGATAGCCCGCCATAAAATACACTGTATAGTTCGGCGTATCTGATTACCTTTCTTGATGATTGGAATCATCCGAGATTGGGTTCGCTGTTGGACTGGACTGACCAGAACCTCGTCACTGTGCTTGTGACGCAGATGGGTCCACAAATTGGTTGTATTATTGCCCTTTAAATTGCTGGCCATGCCACCACGCGATATATTGTTGCCACAATAGCGGCATATCGCAAAGTTTTCACACTCCTCGTTAATATCGTAGTGCTGCCACACATTGCTTACGCGACCCTTGGGCATTTTGTTTTACTTTTTTTGCTAAGTATTTGCTACGTCAGATGATAGTTTTCTCCACCAATTTATTTTTTGCGATATTAGCGTTGCTGGCGCCAGTGTTGCTAAGTATTCAATGGGCCAGTGTTCTAAAAGGCTCGCACATAAGGGTGAAAACAAAGGCCACACAAAAAAAGGTAAAAAACAAAAAATAAAGGAAAATGGAATGTTTTTTTTTAAGAAAACGAATGTTACTATATGTTTATTAACGATCAATTTCGTAATTAATTTTTTTCCAGAGTTACAGGGTGGTTCAAAGTTTTCTTGAGTTTTCTTGCAAACACTGGCCGAGGGGATTTCAAGAGATTTACTATTATTAGTATTTTCAGGGGTTTCCGGGATCTGTACAACTAGAATTTGTAGTTTTTTGCCGCGCCAAAATAGAGGGGCCTAGAACCGACGACCCGTGGTTTTATCGCGATGGCAGCGGGCATTGATCCGTGCTCGGTTTCTACGGCACGGCGGAGCACGGAGCACGCGTGGCAAGCCGTGCGTGAGATTTCGGATCCCTAACTTACCGTTACTGCTGCTGGAGTGGAGACATCGGTGGCGCAGTAGTGATCCGGTTCCGGTTTTACCGCTGTAGGACAATAGATCGCCACAGGTTTTGCAGCAGGCGTACGGCTCAATATGGTCGTCGCACTGGACGAGATTAAAAAACCTCCAAACGCAACTTTTCGTATTACGGGGCTCAACAAGTTTGCACCTCTTATCCCCTGATTTGAGGAGGCTGCGCAGCTCCGATTTTTTTTCCACATGCATTATGGAGGTTTAGGATAATTCCCTGGATATCGGTTTGCAAAACGAAAACAAACCCAAATTATAATATCCACACAAATACAATCAAACTCACGAAAGTCACGCACAAAACAGTGTTGGAAAGCGCGCCATGGCAGGATGTAAAAAGTCAAGGTGGCGAAATATTTATTTAGTTTTTGATAAGAAAATTGATATGACTTATAGGCTTAATAAATATTTTTTTTATTTAATTTAATTTAATTTTAAATTAAAAATTTTAAACTGAGCTACATCGTGAAATGCAAAGGGCTTTCAACGACGTCGAATCCACATTATGGACTATTTTAAGGCACAAATCAATTGCGGAATACTGAGTGTAAGACGCAGCACAGTCTGGGATGTTTTTGTCAAGATCGTCTCCATCCTGATCATCCTAATGTGCCAGACGTGCAACAGGCTGGTAAAGTCCCATGGATTCACCTCCAACATGAAGAAGAGTTTTAGCGTGTGTCCCAACAAGTGTTGCAGTCCAATGGAGAAGGCTACCAGGCAAGACAAACAAGTCTTACATATTACAACAGAATTTGAGACAATTTGAATTTGGACACAAAATTCTTAGCAGTTAGAATCGTTGGTTGTATTTCTTCCAGGTGTCTCTTAAAATTGCCAAGCTGATTAAGTTGAAGGGCTTTCACCGAAATTCATGTTAAATCGAATATTTCCCATTGAATTAAGTTCATAACAATACTCAAGGCTGTATAATTTACATATGTTATAAAATTTGTTTAAAGTACCGCAATTTATTTTTTGGGTAGAGCTGCAAATCGATAGGACTCAAATCTTCGTTTGATTAAAAATACCAAACTATTATTATCATTTGTGTCAGGATTTTATTATTCTTTTTCGAAATAGTATAAATGTTGTACTTTATTTACATTTTTTCAAGATGATGTTTTCATCGATTTTAATGAATTCCAAAAAATATAGTATAATTGTATATTCAAGAAATTTGAATGGCATAAAAAGCATGTTTTCTGGATTTCTATATGGTCACACTGTCTCCTAATTTTTTCGCCGTCGCCGTCGTTTGTTTTTGGGAATGTCAATTGTTGTGAAAATATCTGCAAATTGTTAAAAACGCCCATTCGGAAAGCGCACAATTTTCGCGAAGACGGCGCGAGAGCAGCACAAGTATATGTCATTCAAATTAGTGCAAAATTAATGAATAATTTTACAGTTTGTTGCGTCTGTTGTGTGGGTGTGTGTATGAGTATGTGTGTGCGCGTTATTAAATAAATTAATTATAAGGCAGAGTTACATATTTTAAAAGCAAAAAAAAAAAAGAAAAACGAGTGTAGTCAGTACTCTCATTTTTCTCTCTCTCTCTTAAAGTGTTACAAAAAGTGTTCCAATACACAGGCATGCATACCCATATAGCGAAAAGCAAGAACAAAAAGAAAATACAATGTTGTAAAAGTGCTGCGGTAAACAATTAAACAAATCGGTTTGGAAAATCAGTGAAAATATGTAGCTTTTTGGCAGTATGTATAGGCGTATGTAAATATGAAATATGTAAAGGCAGCAACAGCAAGCGGAGCAGCATATACATACACATGGAGAAATCGCCCAAAAAACTTTCTGCGCAAGCTGCAGAGAGCGACAGAGAGAGAGATAGAGAGACAGGAGAGTGAGGAGAGTAAGAGAGATATATTTCCTTGGTGGAAATGTATGAATGAATTTTCGCTTTTGCAAAATGTTATGTTAATAAAAAAACAGTGCTCGCAGCAAATGGTCAGTTCGTAAATTGTTGATAAAACAAAACAAACTAGTTTTCAATAAAAAGAAATCAGTGTTTTAAACGCATACAGACTCCCAATTTGAGCCTCTCCTTCTCTCAATTTTCATCTGTTACATCTTTTGTTGCTTGGAAAAATCCGTGTTCGTATGCCTGTATGTGTGCGTGTGTGCGCGAAGTTTTCCACTGTGTTTGTCTACACGCCCACATAAATGGCACTGTGTTTGTGTATTTGGGGAAAAAGTAAAAGTGATTCTCGATTTATAAACGCTAAACCCAGAAATTAATTATTTATCTATATTTTTTGACCTTTTCCCATTTAGTGAATGAATAAAATCCCCTAACTGATTGTCAAATAAAACCCGCCCCCAAAATTGTGCCAAAAAAAGAAAAAAGAATACTGGAGATCGGCGAGATATTGCAAGTCGGATAACACCAAAAACAACAATAAGAAGTAACAACAACGTGGGATAAGGATCTTCAAAAAGTTTCATCTAGTTTCTGGTGTTGTTGTTGTCGTTTGATTACCCTTTTCTTTTCGTTGGAAACGTTTGTGCAGCAGCAACTCTGAATGTCTTTATGCTTTAATCATGGTGTATTTCGCCACCAACAACAACAACACCGACACTATACGCTGCTATATTAGAATCTTTCTGATAACGAACCATGACAGAAGGACATGAAAGGTGAGTTTTCTAAGTATGCTTAGCAGAGAACGTCAAGGGTGTCTTTTTTCGGCACCCGAATCACACTCATACATTTCGAGTGTGTGTCGCACTCATGAACAGCAAGAAAAGAGCACACACCCGGAGTGCACAGATCGCTTTGTGCGTTTAGGGTGTTTGCGTTTTTGACACCCGCTCAATTCTAGGCACATGATCCTAATGCACAGACACCCGACACACTCATAGCAAATGAAGCGAGTGTCTGAGACACCCATGTTTTTGGGAAAAGTGAGTCGGGTGTCTTGAAAATGAGTCGAGTGTCTTGAAATGATTCGAGTGTCTTGAAATGAGTCGGGTGTTGCGGGTGTCTTCAGCTGTATTGCATGAGCAGGTCATTGAGGGTTGACCGAATAATTTTACATGAAAGGAAGGAAGGAAATCCCGATAATTTAATATTAGAAAAGTATATTTCTAATAATACAAATTATTGCCGTCTTCAGTAACTAATATTAAAAATAAGAGTTTATAATCATTACAAGTATTTAATGACAAAGTCTTAAAAAACCCACAAAAAAAACGTACATTGCATCAATATTTTAGGATTTTCCGTGTTGTTATCAAACCATCTACCTGCAAATGTATTCCCATTTTTTGCAGATGCGTATTAAGAATACAGATCATAATCAATTGCACTGCGAATAGCAGGTATATGGCCTGACATGGAAAATCCTAAAATATTTGGCCTCTTTTAAGGGGCCATTATTGGGATTTCCTTCCCTTCCTTCAATGACCTGCTCATGCAATACAGCTGAAGACACCCGAAACACTCAGATCAGTCGAAGACACCCGACTCATTTCAAGACACCCGACTCATCTCGAGACACTCGACTCACTTTCAAGACACCCGACTCACTTTCCCAAAAATCATGGGTGTCTCAGACACTCGCTTCATTTGCTATGAGTGTTTAGGGTGTCTGTGCATTAGACTCATGTGCCTAAAATTGAGCGGGTGTCAAAAACGCAAACACTCATAACGCACAATCCGATTTGTGCACATTCAAAATGTGCTGTGCAAGACACTCACCCTTATTTTAGGGTGCCGATCACACTCTGAGTGCCGAAAAGGCACACATGATTCGAGTGCACTCATTGTCTGGGTGTACCCTTGCCGTTCTCTGATGCTTAGTATTTACTTAGTATTTCAGTAAAAGCTAAGGCTAAGCTATATACATTTTTATCACTTGAACTTTGGTACCTCTAAGTCTATAAGTCGAACTTCTATTACTCGAATTCTGTACTTCTAAAACACTCGAAACCATTTCGGTGGCAGGTGTCGTTTTGAGTTAAAGGAGTTTTACTGTTGTTACTACTTAAGCTCTGTTTAAGTTAAACTTTTGAAAGTTATACGTCTTCTGATTCACATCAGCTGTTTTCAGTTATGATTCGAATGAAAAAAGGAACTTAAACGATTAGGAAACATAACATAACCCTCCCTAGAGATTACAATTTTTGAGTTAAAATTTATCTGAATCATTCAGGAATTCTGTGAATTACCAAAAATTAAAGTCTGTGAAAACAAAATAGTTAACGTCATTTTCCTGACACAAATGTTTCAAAGAAAAAGAAATAAAACATTTTAAATTTATAATATATTTTAAATATATTGTTTTTTCTTATAATTCCTTATAGATCCTTTGTTGTTCCAATTCCTCAATGTCCTATTCAGAATGCACAAAGGGAGTGTATTTTTAATGGTCATTTCTTTAGAGTTCCCTTTGCAGGAAAATAGTTTTTAGAACTACCTTATAATCATTTACAAGAGATTTACTAATTCTCTTTTTCGGATTTTTTAAAAAGTGTAGATTTTGGAATTCAGGACAACTTTAAGCTGTTTAATCTATATTCTAGTCAGTCTATATATAATTTGTGTTTTTAAGTTTGAAGACTAGTGTCTAAGTCCAGCGTATATAGCCACCCAAATGCTTGCAATAAATTGGCGTTCCTTTATTAATTGCCTTCAATTGAAAGCTGATTGCAACTGGAAAACATTTTTCAATTTACGAAACGCTTTTTAATTGAATGGACAGGCTTTTTCCCTCAATGGACAAGCCGAATGAATGAAGGAACTGTGTGAGTCATTTGTCTGGCCGAATTGAAGTCTCCACATTGTCTGTCGACACTTTTAATGAATGAAATGGAACGCCCCCATGTGTGGTTTCTTTTTCCGTTCGCCTTTGGGTCCAATAATTGCCGTTGTTACGACTACTCACGTATTATTGCCTCGCGCCACTGGCGCTCTTTAAATTCTATTCGAAAATGATGTCATTTTGTGTGTTTGTTGGTTGTTTGTTGTTTTGCCCCGCGATTCGTTTATTTCTTTCACTATTTACATCGAGCTAAGGCAAAAAGCCTGCGCAACAAGAGCAAAAAAATATAAGCATTGCCCAAGGTTTCTGTAGTTTCATTCATGTCTTGCTCTTTATTCTGTCCTCATAATGAATTGATATGCGACATGCCCCCGCACAAACTCATTTAGAGGGTGCTCATTATTATTCTTCTATGCTTGACAACTAAGGAGATCATTTATAGTAGCTGTTTGAATTCAATTTAGTTTATGAGTTTTGAGCTATGAATGGTGATACTAAACATATGTACATTTTTATAACGACATCATAGAAGAAAGCACTTATTAATTGGCATTTGATCTCAAGGCAATTGTCACAGATCTAAAGTTTTTAAGATCATTTGTATTCCGAATAAGAAATGTATCTGTTAGCTTTAACATCATATCGAAGATTTGTGGATCATATCCACGAATTGTACTACAATTTATATCCTTTTGGGTCATAAAAGACCGCCAGAAAATAGGCAATGATTTTTACATAAAAAAGTTGATCAATATTTTGATAGAAAGCGTTATAATCTGAAGAAAAAATTCGCATACCCAACATATATTTTAAAACCCGATAAGGCACCCTGTTTGTTGCGTTTCTTGTTGCAGCGGAAACAACATTCGATTTCAATTTTGCATTGTAAATTGATTGGCATGTGAATAATGTAACGGTAAGCGGGACATCGTGACCACGCGACAGATGTACATGTATGTATGTATGTATAAGTGTTTTTGTATGGTATGCAAATATGAGGAATTGTTAGTGTGTGTGTTAGACAGTGGGGGCTATCAAAACTATTCGCCTATTTAAAGAGGGGCTCTGTGTATTGGAACTTTTTTGTGGTGTCGCCTCTCCGACATTTCGTGTGGGTGTGCACAAACACTGACACAGACGTATACGCACACGCAGACCGTTGTTCATTCATCTTTTTCTGCTGCAGCCTCTGTGTATGTGTGTGGGCGATTGACTGTGTATATGTGTGGGAGTATCCAAGCCATTCAGTTGGCAACAATGTTTTGAGAATACTAGTAACTGTCAAAGTTTTGCCATCAAGTGGGATATGAATAAATGTTGTATGGAAAACGAAAAATTGGTTAGTTAGTTGGTTTTAAATTAGACCCAGATCATTTATAGGCGACAACTCCCACACACACACAGAAAAAAAAAGATAACTGGAGCTGGCTCTATCTCTCGCTCTCTAACGGTATCTTTCCCACGCATGCGCTGTGACTGGAAGTGAGAGCTTCCAAATATTGATAGACTTTTAGTTTCGGCTTGGGGCAGGCTCTTCTAGCTTTCCACATGTATAAAAGTATGTATGTTTTATGTTTGGCGGAGTTGGTAGTATATCTATATATATATATACCTACCACTTTCCTTTTTTGTATTTTGACTACACCCTGGTCATTCGAATATATGCTTGGGTGGCAACTCTAAATCTAAATGGAGTGAACCGTTAGCAACGCCTCTCTTTCTCAATGAAAACCCGTTATGCGTTATGCTCTGACCCTGGATAGTTCCGTTGGCTTCCTTTCGGTTTTCATTCACATAGCCTCGAAAATCCTTGACTATACTGACGTAGCTGAATGAAAATCATAGAAAGACCAGTCCTTGACATGTCCTGGCTTCTCGCAGGCCCGGTGACGTCGCGACAAAAATATTCATTCTGTAAAATCCAGCGAAACTAGGACAAGCATGTGTATATGACACGCACACCGGTGCACTCACATGCACGTAACCCCCTAACCCCCTCACACAGACATAAACACAGGCCACCATCAATTTGGCTCAGTGGAGTTTCAACTCCCTTTTTGGAGCTTTTTTCATTGAGTAACTCCCCAACATTTGCCCGGGAACTCTGTCCTTATTCAAGCACAATCAATTTATGCGATACTTCTGCGCAGGTCGTTAAAACTCCATTTTATGTGTCCCATTCATAAGGCGAGGGAAAACCCTAGAACTGAAGTTGCGGCTCCATTTTCAAGAATGAAAATTTCGTATATCATTTGGCACCCCAATAAACCAAAAACAGAAAGCTTGAATGAATCTTTCGACATTGATATGAACTTATGATATGAACATACATCTAATCAAAGAAGTCAGTTTTTCCATTTCATACTTTTATATATTTCTCATCGGCAAACCTAAAAGGGTTATTTTCAAGCACATCATTTTTCTGAGTGCTTGTGCCAAGCTTATATTTTTAAACCGAAGGACTTGCTTTTATTTTTAGTTGTCATTGGCTTTTCACTTTCGCTTGGATGAATCAGTCGCTCCTGATGGCAGGTGGCAACTAGTATCCTTGCTATGGCTTCCTTGACTTGCCCAAAAATTGAATTAGCCAAATTAGCGGCACTTGTCGGTTATCCTGTCGAAGATATAGAGGCAGCTCTGATACTTCGATGGCTGGCATTCGTTTAAGACCATTGGTAGTTCCAGGATGTCTTCGGTTTCCTATACCAAGCTAAGCCTCAAACGCAGAACAAGCAGGTGGGATGGTATTTGATTTCATTTATTAATGGATTTGTTACACCTTATATTTGATCGTTACCTAGACTATTAGGAGTAAAAAAGGCTAGTCTTAATAATGCAATTAAAGTCCTTTTAAAATAGGTTAGCTTATACTAAATAAATGTACTTAAATAAATGAAATAATAAAACTAATGAGACGAACTCTTTCATTTACTTCACAGCGACTTTTTAGTAACAGTACGCGCACAGGTAATGACCAGAGACGAGAGCACCGAGGGCTGGCTTCCGCTGGCCGGGGGTGGCCTGGCCAATGTTTCGATCCGGAAGCGTGCTAGGCTATCCCCATTGGCATCGGGTCATGACTACATCATCTACGGGCAAAGGATATCCGATCAGAGCGTAAGTACACTCATATTCTTAATTTCGATGCAATATTAATATCTAAATCCCTTCAGGTCATTTTGAGCTCTGTGATCAATCGAGATCTTAAGTATTACAAAGTAATGCCCACATTTCATCATTGGCGCGCAGGGAAGCAGCGGAATGGACTCACATTTCAAACGGCCGCCGATGCGCGGGCCTTTGACAAGGGCGTCCTGCGCGCCTACAACGAGCTGATCGATGGTAAAATCCTGCCCAGATCTTCTCCTGGCTGATCCCATCTGCCATACTACTACTACTACTACTACTACTACTACTAGTTGCATGACCGGCTTGCACATCCCATATCTCTCTGCTTTCTCTGTCAGCCCGCCTTTAGTTGCCTTTTGACTCCTGCTTACCTTACTCATACCGATTACCACTTGCCTTTCTATCTTCCGATTCTTCCAAGCCTCTGCCTTAGTATTGCTTTCGTTTACTAATATATAACTTTTTATATGTCTTATGCTCTACTTTTGCCACAATACCAAACGAAAAACAATCAAAACAATTATCAAAAATCACCACCACACACAATTACATTGGAATATTGCAAATTTGTTTAAAAAAAATCAACAACAAATCAACCAAACATTTAAATCTATAATTTCAATCGAATTGGTAAGTGTTTAATGAGGCCATACCTTAAATTAGTTTATGTGTGCTGTTTGCTTTGAAGGAAAATTATGCTTGATCACTTCAAAATTTCCAGCACATATATGTGAAATAGTTTAGTTAGTCCACACTTATATAGGTCACTACTATTCAATGAGTTCTTTTAAATTTCCTTGCTTACACTTAAATGTATTTCTGATTTTACGCTCTCTAACTCTTGATCTTTGACTCTACAAAACTTTGAACTATTCTCTGCTTTGCGCCTTTTTAAAATCTTCTGTTCTTTGCTTGTATATAATTTGTCTTTTCCTGAAAACTAATTCTCAGTTGTTTACCTTATTTAGGAATGGCCAAATCGAATCCGACGATAATATGCCCGCCTCTGACCAAATATGATTCGGTTGGTGAAGATGATGTATTCATGACCCTGGACTTACCTGTGGAAAGCGAGAGTTTACAAAAGATCCATTCAAGCCCCGAGGGCAGCGAGAAAAGTCACAGTAAGAATTTTTTTATTTAAAGCCAAACAAATGGAATCAATGTATGAAGATACTCTATTTCAAAAGCATTATCCTAGGACTACTTGATTCCACTTGTGACCAATTGTCTTATCCATTGAAAAATCATAACCTAATCCTTTCTTTACATTACAGAAAGCGTAAGCAACAACTCCGAATCGGAGAAGCTGCCCCCGCCGCCCATTCACTACATATCCACGGACAAAACATCGGCCACCACATCGCCGCCAGACGCACCGCCCGCATCTGCAGCTCCATCTCCGGCGACTGCCGGTCAGATTGCGGCCAGTGAGAACTACTCGTACGTGACACTGACGGCGGTGCACCACGACTACAACTATCCGGTGGTGGATCAGCCTGTGGGGGCGCAGGTGCTCAACGCTCGGCGGGAGTCGATTAGTGCGCTAAAGAAACGCAATGCGCTGGAGGCGGCGCAGGCAATGGCAGCAGCACAAACGGTGGGCAGTGGTGGATTAGCCGGAAGAGACGGGGGATCGGGAAAACCATTGCACAAGCCAAACGTATCCGATATTCTGAAGAAGGAGACACGTCTGCGATGCCGCTACTGCCATGAGCTGTACAGCGAGGACTTCAACCGACGGGGCGCCTGCGAATATGCCCCGGATCCCTTTCGCAGCGGCTACGAGTGCATCTCTGGGATGGGCTGTGCCCGTTGCATGATTTACCATTGCATGAGCGACGCCGAGGGCGAGACGGCCCAGCATCCGTGCGACTGCAGCGCCAGCGAGGCCGGCTGCAGCAAGCGCTGGCTGGGCCTGGCGATCCTCTCGCTGTTCGTGCCCTGCCTGTTGTGCTATCCGCCGCTCCGCGCCTGCCATTTGGCTGGCATCCACTGCGGTCTGTGTGGCGGGCAGCACAAGCCGCATGTCTGACATTTGGAGGCCCGCTTGCAAGGACAGCACGACGATGACCCCAGGCCCAGAAGCGAATTCCACTACCACCAAACCGAGCAGAGCATAATGAGCAGCACCAAGCGTCCGTGGGGCTCCAAGCAGAAGCAATCGCAACAATCGCAGTCCCAATCGCAGCGCCACTTTTACAACTGGGAGCTGTCGCACAGCTTGGGTGCCCCGCAGCAGCAGATTCCTCCGTACTTAATGGAAACAACTGGTAGGAAGGCTCCTCAAAACGATTACGGACGCTTGCTGTTTTAAGCTTTAACCATGGTGACAGCTTAAGGAAACATTTTGGCGAACTTATTTTCCTAGGAGCACTGATTTTTTCACCAGAAACAGAGATATCTTTAAGATATCTGAAAGAAGACAAAGAAAAGATTTTCCGATGAATGACAAGAGAACAATGCTTTCCATACTGTTGATATGATAAATAATAGTCTTGTAAAAATCTGGTGAAAATAAGAAAATGTAAAAAGAAATTCAGCTGGAAAATGAGTTCGCGAAAATGGGACCTTAGTTCGCTTTTAGTATCATTTCGGTATACTCCATTTGAATTGCCATAATTTATTGTATATACAAAGAGCAGAAAGGATTATGTATCTATTTTTAATATACTTTTAAAATTGTAACTTATGTTTAGTGCTCTCGCTTAATTATAGTTTTGTAAAAACGGGCTATTTGTTTTTATTCGTAACTGAAAACACTTTTTTAAAGATCAAAATATTATACAATGATTGTTTTAGTTTTAGTTTTATTTTTGTAGGGTTTTTTGCTATTTTACACTTCCTTGTTTACAATTCGAAATTGGAGAACAGTATTAAAAGGCCAAGGCAAAGGCGAAACGAGAACTAAATATATTTAAATGCGATTTTCTCTGCGCGATTCCAATTTGTTAATCAATGTCACGCGCTCAAAACTCACACGAAAAGTTCAAACAAAAACGGCAACCTGATGCGCAAATGAATAACAAAAAATTTAAACATTGCAACTAGGAAGAAGAAATTGTTTGACGACTCAGCTGTCAAGGCATTCTTCTCTGAACCTAATAAAAAAAAATAAGAATTACAAATTGTTTTCGACTCCTCCAGCAAAAGACTCCGCGGCAATGCTCAAACTTTGTGCGTTCGCTATGCTCAGCAATTGTTACTTAAACGAGCTTTAATTAAAATGTATTTAAACCATTTAGTTGCCTTTTAAAAAGGATGTTTTTGTCTCTTCTTAGGGCTCATGAAGATTCAAAATATTCCTTTTGTCAATAACTCAAAATATATGATTTCCAAAAACGTTTTGTTTAACCGTACGACTAAAGAGGAAAACCAATTAGGATTAGGGAGTCGATGGACAAACGAAAACCGCAGCATTGCACGTTTGGAATCTTTTGCAACTAAATAATTCTAGAATGCGAAGCAATTTGTAATTTTAAATAAATGCTAAACACTTTGGGGCGGTTTTTAAAATTAACCAAAGTCAAGGCATTTGAGCAAAGGGGTAAAAACAAAACAATTTAAGTGTTTTTCAAAAATCAACAAACTCATATATGCAGCTATATATATATATATATAAAAATAATAAAAACATTAATTTATTTCTTACTATATAATTATTGTTGTACTAAGTCAGTGAGAAAAAAAAAACCATGAAAGAGAAATTCACACGAAAACTAAAACAAAATGCATATTTATTAAAAAATAAGCAAAGGTTGTGCAAAAAAACACATTAAAAAGCAACATTATTATTGTAAAAATTAACTAAATACGGCAATTGTTATTAAATGTGCAAAATTCAGCAAAACACATTGATACAAACCTCAGAAAAATACAAGCCAAGATCTGAAAACGGGCATCAATGGAATGAAAACTTTGAGAAAATAGGGAAAGAAGAACCGAGGAACCGATCAAACGGAAAAACAAAACACACTCAACAACAAGAAGTACAAAATGTTAAATATGTATCTATAATTTACAATTACGTTTTTATATTATTTAATTTAAACGCTTACTCAACGGAAAATAGCTAACTATTATTACAATCGTCCTCACACACAAAACACAAAAACAAAAACAAAACAAAATACAATAAAACAAGCTCAATGGCGGAATTATTACTTTAGCTAAAATACAAATTCACCTTTTGCCATTTTTCTTTCCTTTTATCATTTCACATCCAAATAAAGAAAATGGTTAAAATAGTCGCATATACTCATATTAAATTGAAAGGAAATGTGTCATTACAGAAATGGATAATGAAAATAGTAATATAAATGATATATTTATTCATATAAATGTATTTGAAAATGTGAACAAAAAAGAATACCAACAATAAAACACAATTTAATAAACAATGTGAAAAAAAATAGCAGGCTGTTATTCTAAAATACAAAACAAGGAAACACTATCAAAATGGATCAGCTAATGAGGCAAAAACTGCCAGCTGACCAAAGGACTGAGAGGCAGGAACTCACCTGCAGTGTCTTATTTACCAAGTAGGTTAAAATATGATGGCTTATAATTTTGTCTTTATTACTAACAGTTCCTCCTATTTCCTAGTCCAAAGTGTAATTCCGAGGCTTCAAACTCTGGAGATGAATTACATTCGGTGGCACGAATAGTTTCTAAAACAGAAGATCTTGAACTTGATCGAGTTTTTAAGAGGGTAACAAAGGATGGTTTTGAAGAGACAAGGTCCCTGAACCGCTCTCTCTTCGAATTTGGTCATAACTTCGAGGATGTTGAGGGCTGGATGAATATGGAGCAGCCTCCCAAGAATCAACTGATATCAGTACTTCGTTATATGTTTGAGGACCATCTAAAGACCACCGTGCAAATTGATATTAACAAGATGTACTTCAATTGTCATTTTATTGTACTCCAGGTCTACTCCCGTTTCTTCAGCGAACTAAAGAAGATTCCTTTGCTGGTAACTCTACCAGAGAATCTGGTCACCCAAAAGGCCTTTATGCTGATTTATAAATGGATGCTTAGCGATGACCCCATCTTGGATCGCCGTTATATTGTGGAAGTATTTGTGGCTGCCACTTATTTGAGAATCGAACATTTGGAGACTCATTGCTGGAAATATTTCAATGACCCTCAATGCTATGATGAGGATACGGCTTGCATTCTATATGTCGAGACCAGAAACCAACCCGCCTTGAAAGTGGTGCGTACTGAAATGTTGACTAGGATCCGCAAGTTCTTACTCACATTTGTGGCCACAAAGGATTTTCTAGACTTGCCAATCGCACATTTGGAATATTTGCTTAAGTCCGATGAAATCTGTGTAAATACGGAGATCGAGGTGATGAAATGTTCATGATTTTTAATTAATTAGCTTTATATTATTCTTATTTTTAGATACTTTTTATAATTATACGATGGTTGGGTCACGATTGGAGCAAGAGACGAGCGCATGCGCAACGTTTAGTGTCCTGTATTCGCTTTTCCCTGATGCCATTGTGGTATTTACTCTATTTGAGACGCGATGAGCATCACCAGTTGATAACGGAAATAGTATCGTTTCCGGAAGTCGATAATCTGATCAACGATTCCATTTCGAAAATTACCACTCGGATTTATGAAGAAAGAATTGCAGCTTTGGAGGAAGAAAGTGTGTATGTAACAGACCTAACGAACGAAAACCCACGTTCATGGATTTGCGATAATTTATGCAGGTATTATCACTGCATTAGTTGTCCAAATAATCGGGAAATTCGTTTTAAGCATTTTGAAGAGTACCTTTTAGAATTACAACAAAGTTCTCTAGATCACTGGTCCAAAGTGGAGAAGTTTGACCCAAATAAAAAAACTGAATGTTGCAGTTTAACGACAAATAATATAAGTTAATTGCAAAAGTTACAAAATAAATCTTCAAAGTAAAAAGTAAAAGTAAAATTCCGAGGTTTGCGTCTTGGTTAGTATAACATTTCATCCAAGACTCTTTCTGGTTTCTTGTTATACACATATGTACATACTGTTATCGTTATCAATGCAGGCAAAAATAATTTAAGAAATACAAAAGTACCCTTCAGAAATTAAAGTCTATATTAAAGTTAATTCAATTAATATATTTAGGCGGAATTTTTTTAATATATTTTTTTGGGTGCAGTAATTTGTTGGATATATTGGTATTGTGAGCAGAAAAAGCGTCGGGCACACTGCCTCACTGTTTTGTTTTGGAAAATAATATAATACAATTATTAGGGAAATGGAAAAGCTAGAGGCTCTTAAAATATCCTCTATGCGTCCGCGTAGTAATATCCTGGATAGACCACTGTCTAAGGGCAAAACGGAGGTTTCGCAGAGTATTGTGGCACTGCTCTTTAGTGAAATTGTTCAGTACTCGCAGAGTCGAGTGTTTACCGTGCCGGAGCTGCAAACAAGGTGGGAGGATTCTTGATGTTTATGCAACTTATTTGTTATTTCACACATAATTTCAGACTTCATGACTTGGGTCAAGATGTCGGCACTCGAATTATTGATCTGTATTTTATGAGGGAGCGTAGCGGAAAGAGGGAAACCAAATTGACGCAAATGTTACTCTTTGTGAAGACCACGGTGTGGAAGAATCTCTTTGGGAAGGAGGCGGAAAAACTAGAACATGCCAATGATGATGAAAGGACATACTATATCATAGAAAAGGAACCTCTGGTCAATACATTTATTAGTGTGCCAAAGGATAAGGGATCTTTGAACTGCGCTAACTTCACGGCTGGCATTGTTGAAGCTGTGCTTACGAATTGCGGATTTGTAGGTTTTGTTTGAAATTCGTAAATTATACTTCTTAATGTTTTCCTTTTAGCCCTGTAAGGTCACTGCCCATTGGCACAAGGGCACCACGTACATGGTCAAGTTTGAGGACTTCGTCATTGCCCGCGATAAACAGATGGAGGAAAAATAAATTACGTTTACTTAACATTAGTTTTGTTTTGGTTTCGTTTTAATTCCACTACAAATCGAAGATTATTTGCTGAATGTAAAGCTTAAATGAACTTGAACTGGCGATCCTTGTAGGCCACTTGGCCAGTCCGGTACTTCTCCTCGCGGCCATCTCGTTCCGCCTTCAAAGCCCAGGCGTAGAGGGCAATAGGCAGAACTACGGCGAACAGACCCGTACGGAAGGACTTGCCGGTGGGCTTGAAGTGCTCGAAATGGGAAACGCGCATCGCCTGGAACCGGGACAATCCTGCATCGAACTGGAATGCAAAGCGGATTAATAGCATATTTCTCAGCGTGATGACATAACCAAGGATTGGTGATCCCACTTACCACGGTACCGCCCTCGCCGGTGGCATGACGATAAGGATTCGAGCTCTGTTTTAGGAACTCACTGCGCAGCTTTAAAGTCTGTTCATGCTTGCGCTTGATGAACTCTTGCTCATCCTTTGACAAAACCATTTTTTATTTTTGTGTTGCAAACCAAATTTTTAGCAACAGCTGACAGCAGTGTGAACAGGTTAGGAAAATCTCAAATCCCACTAAACTTAAAATATACCAGAATATATATATTTTACATTTTGTTTAACGTGTTGTTAATTAAAATTTCAATGTTTCAAAATTAAACATTTTCTAATTATAAAATAAGATAACAGTCCGACATAAAAAGGTAAGAATTACCTATAAATTACATCATTAGTTGGATTACATATATCGACTTATCGATAGTTCTGTAACTGTCGATGAAATATGCTGGTTTGATTTTTTTTTTACTTATTTAAATTTGTTTAGTTTACTGCACTTAAAAGTAAGTTTTAAAAAATGTAATTAATGTTCATACATATACATTTGCATACTTTTCTCTCACAAAGTCTGCTGCTTCGTTGCAGCTACCACATTCCACCCCCACTACCGTTTCATCCGCTCTCTCGCTCGCTCTCACTGCGCATGTCCTACAAAGTGTGATGCGCAGATCTCGTGTCCACATCCTAATTCGCCGCCTTAAATCGCCAGATTTCCGTCTCCCAAAATATATTTTGAGAAAAGCTTGAATTTTATTTTACCTCTTATAATATATTTTATTAAATTAGGGGTTTCTGTTAAGTAAGGTTGGAAAAACCCTTTAATTTAAGGGGTTACTAATCAATAACTCCCCCTTGGCGCATGTCATTTAAGGACAAGAGAGAACGAGAGAGCTGTTTTGAGCCAACGCGCATGCTACTTTTTAGTTGGGTGGGAAATGCACTTGGCTTAGCCCCGATTTTCCGGGCGGTGGGGGTATATCCGATGTTTAGGGGTGGATTTCAGGTATTTCGGTTGCCCGCGGTTGCGCCGTTTGCCTGGCTCATTTTTCACTTGCCTGCAGACGGAGGCAGCGGCTCCCGGATTTCAATTTTTGGGTCATATTGATTTTCTCCTGCCTGTCCGGTTTCTAGACTCAGTCCAGCATGAGCCTTAAGTCCAGTGCAAGGATCAAGAAACGCCGTTCGGATGCAGCGGCGGCCACATACCCGGTACCTTCACCAGTTCAGACCGGGAATGGCGGTTCGTCTTCTACACCAAACCCTGCAAATACAACAAATAATTCAGGAAATGGTAGCTCAAATCCTTGCCAGAGTTCTGCCAAGAAGCACAGTTTTGTCGGACGTAATCCCAACTTTGACACCGATGAAACCAAACTGCTTATCCAATTGTGGGGCGATCCTAAGCTGCAGAGAACCCTTATCACAACCCATAAGAAGCATGCCGTGATCTGTCAGCTGGCCGCCAAGATGCAGGAGTACGGCTACCATCGTTCGCCGGAGGAGATTACCACGCGGATTAAGAATCTAAAGTGCTTTTATAATCGCTTAAAAAAGGATAAGGAGTGCGGTGGTATGTCCACTGATTCGGAACCCAGTTGGAAGCATTTCGCCGAGATGGATGCCATCATGACCAGACCCATCTTCAGTGTGCGACCCAATGAGGTACCGGCTCCTTCGCTTAAATACCAGCTAGAGCAGGCTCTGGAGGAACATGCCGAACGACGCAAACGCCGGCTCGAAAACGGAGAGGAGCTATCCGAAAGCGACAACGAGGAGGATGACATGTTACTCTCCGCCTTGGTGAGCAAAAACAAAGAGTCTGGAAGCCGGAAAGAACTGGAAGCTGGTTGCCTGGAATCTGACCTCGATATGAACGAGGAATCCTTTTCAAAACGTCGAAAGCTTTCTGCGGAAGTTGATGTGGATATAGGCGAGGCTCTGACTTCACCCTGCATTAAAAGCGAGCCTACCCAGGAGGTGGAATCTACAGTGGTCGTTCCTTCAGTGGAGCCTGAACAAGAAGAAGATGATGACTGCATGCTCCTGCCTCAGCCAAAAGAAGAGCCAATAGATGTGGATGCCGCGGATGATTCTCCAAATGACAAGACCTCTAGTTCAAGTTCAGTATCCACTCTGGCTGACATTTTGCAGCGGAACAAACCCGCCAACATTCTTCCCTTCACTGGGGCTAATGTCATTATCCCAGCGAGCATTACCACCACAACGGCTACCACGAGCTTAACTACTCAAAGTTCAACGTGTACGCCGGGCAAGTTGCAAGGTGGAAAAATATCTCTTGTACCCACAAATTTCCTGATGCAATCCAAACTGCCAGCTGGCACGGGACCAAGTCCCATGCCAACTGCTAAGGGAGCTGCTCCCCAGCTGCAGCTACTGCAGAGTGCCATCAATCAGGGAGCTCGCCTGATGCTAAGCGGTTCGGCTGCAGCACCGGCACAGCCTAGCAACGCCGGTTTGGTGGCCACAGCACCCGGAGGGGTTAAGTTCGTGCTTGTCAATGCAGAGCAAGCCAAGGCGGCGGCAGCTGCAGCTGCTGTAGGCAAATCCGCCGCCTCCTTGCCCTTGGCCACAGCACAAGCTCAAGTTCAGGCTGCCGTTCAACAGCAGCAACACAAAATGCAGCAAAGTCTTCAACAGGAACATCATCTGCAACACCAGCAGCACATCCACCTGGAAAAAGAGGAAAGCCGCAGGGTCCAGGAGAAAGCTAGGGAGGATCTGCAGTCAAAGCGACACATGACAAGTGGGTACCACGTTATTATTATTTTGTACCTATTGTGTTAATATGTCAATTATTTCTTTTAGCTATGAGAATCCTTCTTCGCCAGCTTCTGAATTCTCAAAACGAGGCCAACGAGATTCAGCATAATCGGTTGTCCTTGGAACGCGAGCGTCTGGATTGGGAGAAATCCATGGGCGATCGCTTGCTGAACTTGTTGCCAACTCTTCTCCAACCGGCAGCTGCTGCCTCGCCATGCTCCACTGCTCAGCGTCTTCAGCCCCCCAAACTGCTTTTCACCACTGCTCTGCCAATGGGCAATGGTACCGTTACCATGCCGCACATCCTAACGTCTAATTCATTACCCAAGGTCATTACTACAACAAGCTGCAATAGTGGCGTGGCTGTCGCCGGATCAGCAGGAGGTTTGGTTGCTAGTGTGCCCACTAAACCGGTCGATAATGACGTGCAGTTGGTAACACCCAAGCAGGAAAAAGAGGCCTGAGCCGAAGTGGAACTGGTCATTTTAAGTGATTGATATTAGAAACGTCTTTCAGTGATCTCAAAGAATTGATATTCTGGTCTTTACTTTAGTCTACTTTTAAATGACACTTCTAAAAATAAACATTGATCTAGTCTCTCATTTTAAAGTGTATTTCGTGTCATTCTACCTTCGGAAAAATACAGTCTAAGACAAGATATGAATTTTAAGGATATTAAGAATAAGAATAAGATAGTTTTCATGATAATAGACTCTTTGATTTTAACTATATTTAAACCTAAAATTAATCTATCCAAATGACAAATACCTAGGGATACTAATGTATGTTGAGCCTTTCCATATCCCGGATTTCCATTATGTCCGTCTTAAGTCGCTGCTTGACGATCTCCCGCCAAATAGCTTCCCGATCTCGGTTGTCCGTTATTCCCATTCTTTGCAGTGAGGAGTCTGTGATTCGGAGTAGAGCTCTTCCGGTTATATCGTGCTGAAAAATGTATAAACCAAATCAGTAGGCAGTTCTTATGATGTCTAAATTGTTTTTTGTGCTAGAGGTGCTGAGATGACGGAACTGCTACAAGGAAGCAATGGCAACGATGAACAACGGTAAGTGGGGGATTAAGAATCCAAAAGAAGGGAATCAACTACCTGGGCGAAGAGCTGTTCGTATTGGGTGTATTCCCCGCAGTGGCGACGATACCACTTTAGGACATCAATCATAGTCCACTGGTATACTGCCTTGGGCCGAGTGGTCTTAGTCCTGGTTTTGTTTTGCGTAGAATTACTAGTCTCTTCGCCCATTTTTAGTTTAAAAACAAAATCGCTAGCAAGTTGCAAGAAAACAAACTACTCCGATATACCGATAACAGCTAGGTATGAGATATCAAAACATATCGCTTTTCAGATTATAAGTCGTGATTTTAAGTTGTTTTAAACGTGTGCTTATTGTTATTTATAAACTTATTTTTTACACTTATTTATGCAAAGAACAAAAATTAATAGCTGTTTTTATTGAGCACGTTTCAAAAATTTTCTTTGGATCCCATGAAAATAAAGTGAATTAAATTATAATTAGTTATCAACGGATTATGTATTTTAGTTTATGCTTGGTTAATAACAATTAGCATTTAATTTGAAATAATGAATATGAATGAATACGATTTTTTGCAATTACTTATGAGATTCCTTGGTGTGATATATCGATAAAGTGCTTTAGATCAGCATTCGCTCTCTATCGATGGCCGCTGTGGCGCACCTATCGAAACCAAACCAGCTCTAATCGTGACTGGCGCTTAATAACAACGACCGAAAGGTGAAAAAGTCAGCATAAAACACAAAAATACGCAATAAATACACAACGGACCTAATTAAAAACAAAGAAAAAATTGGCACATTGCTAGTGGCTGAGTTGAGATACGCTTAGTTGATAGATTGATTCGTAAATTCGTGTGTTGACCGACCCCATATCTCGTCTCGTCCGAATCAAAATTCCAAGTCGCAAGATGGCCGGAGCAACACTTTTCGAGCGTGCCCAGGCATTGTCCAGCGTAAATCGCGAGGAGCAGGACAGCTCTCTTTTGAACAAGATCGTCCGAGACCAGGAAGGTGCCGAGAACGATGAGGAACGTATCCGGATTAAGGAGCAGGGAATCTTACAGCAGGGAGAGCTCTACAAGCAGGAGGGCAAGGCCAAAGAGCTTGCCGATCTCATCAAGGTGACTCGTCCGTTCCTCAGTTCGATCAGTAAGGCCAAGGCAGCAAAGCTGGTGCGTTCACTGGTGGACATGTTCCTTGACATGGACGCGGGTACAGGCATTGAGGTGAGTTTGTAAAATATTCCCTTGTGCCACATTTACTAGTAAGAAGTTTTTCTGATCCCTAGGTTCAACTGTGTAAAGACTGCATTGAGTGGGCAAAACAGGAGAAGCGTACCTTCCTTCGCCAATCCCTGGAGGCTCGTCTGATTGCCTTATATTTCGATACTGCTTTGTATACCGAGGCTCTTACTTTGGGAGCCCAGCTTCTGCGGGAACTAAAAAAGTTGGATGACAAGAACCTGCTGGTGGAGGTCCAGCTACTGGAGAGCAAAACCTACCATGCACTGAGTAATCTGCCCAAGGCAAGAGCCGCCCTTACCTCGGCCCGAACCACGGCCAATGCCATCTACTGCCCGCCAAAGGTCCAAGGTGCCCTGGATCTGCAGTCGGGTATCCTGCATGCCGCCGATGAGCGCGATTTCAAGACCGCCTTCTCCTACTTCTACGAAGCCTTTGAAGGATTCGACAGTGTGGACAGCGTCAAGGCCCTGACCTCGTTAAAATACATGTTGCTCTGCAAGATAATGCTGGGACAGTCCGATGATGTCAACCAGATTGTTAGCGGAAAGCTGGTAAGTTAGCGGATTCCGATTTTTTAACAGATATTAAGAGATATTGGTTAAAATCCACTAAAAATTGAGTCCATATACATAGCAAATACATAACTTTTAATCTAAAATCTATGTTAACAGGCAATTACCTACTCGGGACGCGATGTAGATGCAATGAAATCGGTGGCGGAAGCCTCACACAAACGCTCCTTGGCTGACTTCCAAGCTGCGCTCAAGGAATACAAAAAAGAACTGGCCGAAGATGTGATCGTGCAGGCTCATTTGGGAACGTTGTACGATACTATGCTGGAGCAGAACTTGTGCCGCATTATTGAACCATACTCCCGTGTGCAAGTGAGTTCACCTACAAAGTCTTGGTTTTTTGAACTCTGCTAAAATTCTTTGTTTCCAATAATCAGGTTGCCCACGTGGCCGAGAGCATCCAGCTGCCTATGCCGCAGGTTGAAAAGAAGCTCTCCCAAATGATCCTAGACAAGAAGTTCAGTGGTATTCTGGATCAGGGTGAGGGAGTACTCATCGTTTTCGAAGAGACGCCTGTTGATAAGACCTATGAACGCGTGCTGGAAACCATTCAAAGTATGGGTAAGGTGGTGGATACACTGTACCAGAAGGCCAAGAAACTCTCGTAAGCGGTGCGCAGGAGGCACTATTCAATTCAAACATGATATCAGCATACTTAGCAGACATTTCATAGTTTCCTTTTGTATTTTCCAACAACTCCCAATCCTTGTTCGAGCCAATCAAGTTTTATTTTTCTGCAAAAACAAAATTAAACCGAAATTGGTAAAATAGCAACAGAAGCAGCAACAACAACAGCCACAGAAAAATGTAAAACTAAATCCATTAAACTAAATTAAGCAAAATTATTAATCATTGAGTGGGATCGAATTGTTTACGCAAGTGCGCTAAAATAAGCATAATATTCAATTAACTACATAATAAATGAAAAACAAAACAAAACCGTAAACAAAATTTATGAAAAATTCTGTTTAATTCTGGTTTACAAAAGGAGAATAAATTAATTCCAATTGGTGAGTAATAGGCTGCCATATTATTCAACAAAAGTTTTTAATGATTAATTTAGTTTTATTTTCGCTTTAAATAAATTAATTTCTACTGATATAACCATATTATTCAACCGAAGTGATGAGACAGTCCCAGGCCAGCACCAAAGTTAGGCTTCTGGTTAGCAAACGGTCCACTTGTCCACTTGCTAGCCGATCCCGTCAGATCCAAGGTGGTAGCACGATTAGGCGAGGACCAAAGGTTAGCCCGACCATCTAGACCCAGCTGTTGGCCGATTCCTGGGAAATTGCTGTGGGTCAAGGAGGCACCATGACCATTGACATGAGAGTAGTCTAGTCCGGCTCCATTGCGCTGGAACTCAAAGCCATTGGCAAGTTTGTTCTGCGAGGCAAACACTTTGGCATCCAGATTGTGTCTGCCGTTGTTGAAGAGATTGGCGTGGGCTTCCTGTTGGAAGACGTCCTTTACTCCGGGCGTGTGGGTCTTGGTCAGAGAGGCACCATGTCCAGCACTAAGGGGGAACATATTTCAGTTAATACTTTGTTTATGATTCTTTTTTCAGCTTTGGGAACTTACTTATTGTAGGCCAAAGTTCCTCCAGTGGTGACCGGACCGCTTTGCGTGTTTCCAGCGGCAAAAACCTGACCCACGACATTGTGATTGGGATTGCCAATACCTTTGCTGAGATCCAATCGAGCATCAGCGCCACCAGCGGGATTTGAGGCCAAAGAACCACCAAGCACTTGGCGTCGAAAGCGGATGGGTCCTGTTGTGGGAAGTCGATGTTGATTTCCGTAAGTAGCTGCCTCTGTGATGGCGGAAAGGGCAAAGAGTGCCGAGATTAGGATGCTTGTCCTCTGCATGTTGCTGGTTGAGATTGCTTGAGCTGACTGATGTCCCAAGGTGGCTAAAAATTTGCTTTTATACATACGGTCACCTTAGGGGAAGCACTGTTTGGTGATTCCCAAGATTCATCTCGGTGTCGATTTCTGGCTGTCTGCCTTATCAGTTAGGAATTTCCCCTCCTAACTTTCGCGGGTGAATTACTCTAGGTTTTTGTGTGTTTGTGGGATTGTAAATTTTATTTTGTGATCCACCTGTTGCTTCGTTGTGCTTGTTTGTGTTTCATGGGACTCTGACAATGGAACTACAGATTTAACTTTTAAAAGTGAATAATTTTCTATTTAGAAAATGTTTGTTCCATACAACAGAGAGGAACTTATACTTTTAGTGACTTCTATAGTCTGAAAAGAAACACACCTTAGTAATTGTACTTCTTAGTTCTTAGTAATTTAAAGACCTTATAGTGCTAGATTGTACTTTCACCTATACACATATATCTTAGGCTTAGATAAACATTAAGCAGAACAATTATTATGCTTTGCTCATATTTGATCATATTTCGGACAACTGAGGGTAAAAAATGATTGTATAACAGCCGAGATACCAGCATCCTGGTCAAAAAAAGCAAATGGTTTTTAGTTCTCGTTGTCTCTCTTTAACTAAATGTATGTTTAAAATTATGATACTTGATTAAAGTTACTTAAAGAATTGAATTGTAGAAAATTATAGTTATATTTCTGTTTATATTTCAAAATAATCTTTTTCTAGATTGCTAAGTCGACTGTACTCTATATAATCATGGGTCGACTTTTTGATGATTAAAATCACTTAAGAAATTTTTCTTATCACTTATAGCTATACATCTGCTGCCTATGTCATATTAATAGTAAATAGACCAAAGGAATCGGCTACTTTTTTTTTAATACTTATTAATACTTAGTTAGTCAATCTATAGGTTTTACGTTACAATTGCATTTTTAGCATTTCTGTACATCATATAAAATTTTACATTTGCTGATAAATATATTTTGCAAACAAAACAGTAGCCACCAATGTCCAAAATAAAAGTAATTTCAAAAAATATTTCAATTTTAATGTATATTTTTTAATAAATTATATTTCATAAATATTAAATTATGTAGTTTAACCGAAATGGTGGGAGAGACCCAGGCCAGCACCAAAGTTGGGGTTCTGGTTAGCAAACGGTCCACTTGTCCACTTGCTGGCCGATCCCGTCAAATCCAAGGTGGTGGCACGATTAGGCGAGGACCAAAGGTTGGCACGACCATCTAGACCGAGCTGTTGACCAATGCCTGGGAAGTTGCTGTGGGTCAAGGAGGCACCATGACCATTGACATGAGAGTAGTCTAGCCCGGCTCCATTGCGCTGGAACTCAAAACCGTTGGCCAGTTTGTTCTGCGAGGCAAACACCTTGGCATCCAGATTGTGTCTGCCGTTGTTGAAGAGATTGGCGTGGGCTTCCTGTTGGAAGACGTCCTTTACTCCGGGCGTGTGGGTCTTGGTCAGAGAGGCACCATGTCCAGCACTAAGGGGGAACAAATTTCAGTTAATACTTTTTTTATGAATCTTTTTTCAGCTTTGGGCACTTACTTATTGTAGGCCAAAGTTCCTCCAGTGGTGACCGGACCGCTTTGCGTGTTTCCAGCGGCGAAAACCTGACCCACGACATTGTGATTGGGATTGCCAATACCTTTGCTAAGATCCAATCGAGCATCAGCGCCACCAGCGGGATTTGAGGCCAATGAACCACCAAGCACTTGGCGTCGAAAGCGTATGGGTCCTGTTGTGGGAAGTCGATGTTGATTTCCGTAAGGAACTGCCTCTGCGATGGCTAAAAAGGCAACAAGGGCCACGGCTAAGGTGCTTGTCTTCTGCATGTTGCTAGTTGGGATTGCTGGAGCTGACTGATGCCCCAAGTTGACCAATGATTCGTTTTTATACCTTCATCCAAAGGGGAAGAACGTTCCAGGTGGTTCACAAGATTCTTCTGGTTTCCGATTTCGGTTTGCCTGCCTTATCAGCTAGGAATTCCCCGTTTTGCATTGATGGGTGATTTACTTCTGCGTTTTGTTTGTGTGCTTGTGCTACTTGACCTCATCACCTCCCCTGTATTTTTGCGACCCATTGACGCCACTTGTTGCTCCTTTGTTCGGATTTCACCCCCGACTCGGGACCTATGCTGGCATCTTCAAGTGGCTGCCTTTGTGGCCTGATGGAGGAGTGCATCATCATCTTGCGCAGGACAGCATTTGACAGTTATAAGCGATTTGCTATCATATTTCTCACTTGATGTCAGCCTTTATCAATAGGTTTTATGGGGAGGAAATATCCTTGAGGTGGTGCAAGGGGTTAATGAGCGAAATAGAGAGAGATGATGAGAGCGGCAGGATTTGAGTGAAGTTTTAGCCGAATTGTAATTGAATTTTGTGCGCAGGAGCAGGCGAAAGGGATTCAACTTGAGAGAGAGAGAGGAGAGCGGAAACTTTAACTCGAAGTGTCAACGAAAAGTTTACACTGAAAAATAAAGTATGTAAAGGAAATTAATGTTTAAGTTGGGTTTGAAAGGAAGAAAATGATTGATTTTGCTAAAAACAAACTCTGTATTAAATACATAACTAACTATTTTTAGGAAAATATTAAAACTATTATATTAAAATTTTAAAATATAGAAAAATACGTGTGAGATTTATGGATTTTTTATGACTTTTAAAGTGATTATCGATTTCAGTTTTGGATATGAAATCTTCTGAGTGTTGTTTGGTGGCCAATAATAAATAAATAAATAAATATATATATATATAAATAAACTAATTAGTTAATCATTTAGATTTTAACAAGGGGGCTCGCCAATATGTTTGTGGAATAACCAACTTATTCATTATGATCTGCAGCCATCTGGTTAATTTGCTAAAGTCTTATAAGAATGTACTGAAAACCGGTTTGTGAATCACAGAAACCGCAAATTTAAAACGTTTAGATTGATTGTCTCCTAAACGTGACTTTTTGTGGTTTTATTTTAAATGATTATTTTTCTTATCAGCTTATAGAGCTCAGCCTCCGTTGACAAACTCAGATTAGCCATAGGAACCCCCTCAATAATCTTCATTGTCATATTACTTCATCATACATATTAGTGATTGTAAAAAACATGAAAATATTTTGTTGCTCCATTCGATATATTTATTTATTATTTATCAACTAGCTGAAATAACAACTTTTTGATAAATTTTAAGAAAGAAATGAAAAACATTTTAGATCTGATGTTCATGTTGCAGTTTTCCACTGGTTCCACAACTTTAAGCGGGGAGAATGGGTGGGGGCCTGATAGCAGCCTGAACCAGATGATCTTCGGTGGCCAAGGCCTCGCGCCTCACTCGGATTGGTCGTGGATGCGAGGTGGGGCGTGGGCTGTATGGCTTTGGCTTGCCGGGAGTAGCCATAGCCATGGCAAAGACGCAAGCCAGCAGTAGGAAAACGATGGTGAACTTCATTATGCTTTGATTTAAGAAATCAGACTGAATTGATTTCGATGAAAACACTTGGCTTTTTATAGGAGCCAACGATCAGAAAAAAAACATTTGCAATGCAGGCACGTCTTGGCTCTGTGGTGGCCGGTGGTTCCCCATTTGGGGGACTTTTCCTTCTTACTTATCAACGAACAGGCCACTGAAGGTGAACGACTTGACAATTACGTTTTTCTTTTCTTTGGAAAATGTACACATTGGCGTCGTAAAAGCAGAGTAATTTACATGTTGTATGACGGCGGGTAACTTACCTGAACTTGGGTCACCTGAAGTTTTTCGCTAGGGTTAGCTGTAGTTTTTCCAAGAAGTAAGATTATAAAACAAGGTAAATCTTCTATTGTGTTTTCTATCGAACTAATAAGTTAAATTTTAAACCGAAATTTTTGGCGCCAAGCTGTCACTTTCCCTTAAGCTGTCTCTCTCGCACTCGCTTTGCCATATCAGGACTCCCTCTCTTTCGCTCTCTTTGAAGTCCTGCTGTCGGCCGCGTCAAATCTCATTAAATTGGATACACACACACACACACATACACCTTCGCACGCGACAGCGGAACGCGCTTGAGCGAGCTTTTCCGTCCGCTTTTGAGCGCAACATTTTCTTTTCGGGGCTCTTTTGGAAAACTCTTGGGCAGCTTGCCAAACGCTCGTATAGAGGCCAGACGCGAGGAAAACTCTGCTTATCGATTACGCACGTAACACATTTGCTCCGAACAGCCGAAATAGCAAATAGTTAAAGAAATTCAACGAGCCAAATAAATATTTCTGGTGTGTAATTAATAATGTTTGTTAATTAGTTGAAAAGTTCGAAAAAGTTTACATAATAATTGGATGAAAGGTGCAGGCCTAGGGCAGGCTTTTCGCCTCAAGAGTCTCAGCCTGTGACAATGGCCTTCAAGAAGTGTGTGCGAAAATTGTCTATATATAGAGAATGATATGTACCTCAGCTTTTGTGGGCACGTGTGAGCCATTAAAAATTGAAATAAATCTGCAGAATTGCAAAGGGATTTTGAATATTCTAAGTGCTGTTGTAATTACGAAGTGTTGTTAAATAAGGTTGATCCAAAAGCTTATAAAAAAGGATATAGAATAATACATACTAAATGCAATGATTTTTTTTTGTACTTTTTGTTTGTATTTTCCTTTTTCCCTTACTAGCTTTTGATTTTTTAGTAAATTTCCTTCTTTTTCCCTTCCTTTTTACATATATTTTAGTAGCAACAACAAGTCTGCTCTATATACAGACAATAACCCACATATACACACACACATACACACCCTCGTACCCATTTACCCACATTTGTTATGTGCCAACGGTGCGTATGTGTGATACCAGTAAACTCAACAAAAAATGAAATAGAAATTACTCACGCTCAAAGCTCACCAGCTAATGCAATTCACTCAACCCGCTTGAGCTCACTCAAAGGCAGAGCTTGTTTGTTTTGGCATTGAAATATTATTTATTTTCCAAAGAACGACAAGTGGTAAGAGTCAAATGTTTGAATGCTCACTCAAAAGTTATCAAAAGAACTGGGAAATGTCAAACGGAAGCAGTTGACAGTCGTAATTCTTTCAATTCCTGAGTGGAAATAGCTTGAGTGGTTTCTGATTCAGAGCTTAGCCTTGTACATAGGCAGTAATCCGGATTAAACACTAAAAAAGATATAAGATTTAATGGGTTGGGTTTAAGTACACTAAGGTGTGATTGAAAGAGTTAGGGTCTTTGCTTAATATTTAACTATATGTCTGTAAAGAAAATGGGAAATTTCATATTTCAATTTGGTGTATATAGTATTAGTAATAGTCAAAAATATAGTTATTGTTCTTTAGCTTTACCTTTGAATGTAGTTTAGATTGATGTTAAAACGTTAACACGATAAATGAATAATATATTATGTTTTATGTTTTTAGAGTAAAGTATATAACAAGTAAATTACTTAGTAATAGTATTAACGGCTTTTTTTACCTTTTACTTTGTCTGTAAGTCCGAAACTTATATAGTTCGTAAATTTGGCTTAGAAAATCTATTTTCCCTTCATAAGAAAGTAAAGATTTGAAAAGGATTTCCAGTTTAGTATTCCTATTCCCTCTTTCGATGTGTGTGAGTCAGAACAAAGCAATGGCAATGCTAAATTGTGTCCTTTTGTTTACCACAGCTGCCGAATGATAATGGAGATGATAATGAGGCTGTAACTGGGACACAAGAGACCAGACCGAAAGGAAGTGTCAGTCAAGTGCGGAAAATCAGCAACCAGAAAGGGGAAGGGATCTGAGGAGGAACAACCAGGACCATCCAGCAGACACCATCCGAGTTCAAGGAACTAGCGAACAATGAATCCCTACACACAAGGCGGCGGAGGAGGTGCCGGTGGCGGTGGAGCCAATCCCTTTGGAGCACCTGCCGGTGGAGCAGGATATGGCCAGCAGGGTTATGCCTATGAGCAACAGGCAACAGGTGGCTATGATCAGGAAATGAATTTTGGCAATCAACAGCAGCAACAGGCCGGTTATGGACCACCAGGAGCCAGGCCACGAGTGGATGTGGAGGCCAGTGGCGAGGTGGATCCCAATTTGTAAGTTAATCTATTCGAGCTTTTTCATTTCTTTAAGTTGAGGTTTGATAATAGTTGTCGTAAACTTTACTTTTTAGTTACTAATTGAATATACTTTACCCTCAGATATCCGGAAGCCAAGGAATCAACGCACAAAGTACGCGGCCACTCGGACATTCTGGAAATGTTTTTCGGAGCGAGCACAGAACGTGAGCTGATTCCCGTGAAGAGTTTCTACTTCTTCTTCTACGCCGCCTTTGGATCGCTATTCCCGCTGATGGGCGTGTACTTTAAGCAGATGGGAATGAATCCGGGACAGTGTGGTATCCTAGTAGGAATGCGGCCATTTGTGGAGTTCCTGTCGGCCCCGTTCTGGGGCTCTTATGCGGATCGTTGTCGTCAGGGCAAGAGATTGCTCCTTGGCTCATTGGCCTGCTGGGTCCTCTTCACCATTCCGTTGAGCTTCATCCGACCGGAGGCCATCAACTGTATTGAACGGCGTAATTCTACGGACTTTGTGTTGACCTACACGCGGACAAAGCGAGATCTGTCGGCCATGTATGAGCCCGAGCAAATGGATTTGGGAACAGGAACCATGCCAGCGGATGAGGCTTTAGAAGAGGCGGAAGCAGCCCACAGCCGTCACAAGAGATCTCTGCTGCTGCCCAGAATCGATGCGGGCATCTCACCGGTTCACATTAACTTTGTTAGCAACTACGACGATAAGTACCACAGGGACTATGTGACGCCCATCTTTAGCTCTATGGTTTATAGGACTCCGGTAAGTCGATGGAGAAGTTTATAGCTTGAAAAAGGATTTTGAAATTATTAAGACTAGAATTACACATTACTGTTGCTTTGACTTTGGTGATAGGTGCTTGTGTGGGCTTAGATAAGAGTTCTTTACTTAGTTAAAGTTTAAATTGTGTTCTGTATGTAAAAGTTATTTGATTATTGTCCTTGATTTCAGTGTATTTTCATAGCTGTATGCATTGTTAAATATTTAATCCTAAGTTGACTAATATTCATTTTTGTAATCCATCTTTTGATACCATTTCAAGAAGCACCTTTTAGGTACGTTTTAAATATCTTTAAATTTTTGTAGAACCAAAGGAGTATTATTTTTGATTTATAAAAATTTACTTACATTATTTTCATCTACCCCCACAGGACATCCAAAAGGCCTTCTTCCTGCTACTGCTGGTGATCCTCATTGGAGAATTCTTCAGTGCACCGGCAATCACTTTGGCGGACTCCGCTGTGATAACGCTGCTGGGTGAGGATGCTGATAAGTACGGCCACCAACGGATGTTTGGATCCCTGGGATGGGGTATCTCCATGTTCCTGGTGGGCATCGCCCTGGATCACTCCACCTCGTTCTCGAATCATCCATGTGGAGCTGGCAACAAGGAGAAGAACTACAACATCTGTTTCTCCATTTTCTCCGTGTTAATGACCTGTGCGATTATCTCCGCCTCGAAGATCACCTTTAAGTACGATCCCGTCGATGAGCAAATGGCGGCACAGCAGCAGGCACAGTTCGTGGATCCTAACAAGCGTGCCGAGGAGGAGTCGATGAACCAGTTGGCGGCCCAATTGAATCTGCCCTCGCTGGCCGTTGGTAGCGGCAGTGCCGCCTCGGGTGCCTGTGCCGGTGGCGTTAGTAGCTTCCTTGCTGCTGGCCATCAGCCACAGCCGCATATTGGAGCCGAGTCAAAAGTCTTCGCCCAGACTGCCAAGGAATTGCCGGAATGGATGACCGTGTTGACCCATTTTAAAGATCTGAAAACAGCTTCCTTCCTTTTCGTGGCCTGGTTCATGGGCTTTGGCATTGGTTTGATATTCACATTTTTGTTCTGGCATCTACAGGACTATGGTGGCACTCCCACTCTGTTCGGTGTGGCCTCGGTCATCAATCATGTTTCCGAGATTTTTGCCTACTTCTTCAGCTTCCGTCTGATCACTCAAATTGGTCATGTCAAGGTCTTGTGTCTGGGTTTAATTGGTAATGTGCTGCGCTTCCTTTATATTTCGTACCTGACCAATCCGTGGATGGTTCTGCCATTTGAGCTGATGCAGGGCATAACCCATGCAGCCGTGTGGGCTGCATCATGTTCTTATATTGCCCACAATACTCCCAAACATCTGAGAGCCTCGGCTCAGGGTGTCCTTCAGGGTATCCATCACGGATTGGGTCGTGGCTGCGGCGCCATTATTGGCGGCATGTTCGTCACCTACTACGGTACTACTACTACCTTCCGCTGGTATGGCATCGCCTGCCTCTTCGTCCTCGGCTTCTTCATCTTTGTTAACTTTTATCGGAAGGAGCAGGGCTTCATTTCGGAAATACCAGTCACCGAGGATCCACATCAGGTGGGTTAAATAGCTAGGAATTTTGAAAACTATATAACAAATCTAATTTTCCTTTTTTTTAGGTGGCCGAGGAGACCTCGCATTTGGCTCCCCATGGAGTTCCCAGTAATCCGATACCACGGGCTCTGTCCAACTCCCGGCTAAACGAGATGAATCCAAATGGAGGACCATATGGAACCTACCAGACCACTGGCGGTAATCTGGACATACCCGGAGCCAACCAGCACAATCCATTCGCTCAGTAAATGGGGCGGGGACTTAAGATGCCCCTCAGTCGGCTTTCAGCCCATCTTCATACTCACAGAACTTAAAAAACGAACAAAGTATAACCGCAAACATATCTTGGACATTGGCCTGCAATATGAATTGCATAACTGCATTGCTTTATTTTGATTTGTTGGGCAATCAACATACGATCTACACATAGCATAGCATATACATATACACATATATATATATTTTATATAGGACATGTCACATAGCCAGCATAATGATTCCATATTGAGTTAGATTGGTTACAGTCGATGGATGGTTAATAGTGGTGGGAGAGGGAAATCGAAACGAATTTTCACATAGCAGCTTAGCAATATACATAGGGCAATATATGTGTGTGTGTACAACAGATAGATGTATATATATATTGTGCCGATCTATAATATTTATAGGCCTTTTTTATATTAGTTGCATGCAAGCCGGTCGGCAAGGATTTTCCTACCGGTTTTTAGTTTTGAGTTATCAAAATGCAGAGTTTGTTGCCTACTTTTTGGCGGTCACCAAAGCAAATCACACATACGCATGGGGTTACAACCCCGAATCAAACATAAAGTACCTATACAACTATGCAAAACAACCTAAACATAAATTGCAAAAAATAAAAAAGCAAAGAAAATAACAAAAAATTGAAATACCAATAGAAAAAATGTGAATACGGGGCGTTCCAAGGCTACAGGACATCGGGAAGCAGTGGTAGCTGCTTCGTTTAGCCGCAGTTGATTATGACTATGATGTTCACTATACTATTTTATAGTATTAATTTAGATTATCCCTTGTCTTATGGCTTTGAAACGCACCGTATGGGTTTCCCAAAACAGTTAGGGGAGTTTCTTGTAAAGGAAAAACTAAAAACTAATTTCGTATTCAATTATTTTAAATTTAAATTTTTTTTATGGAAAATTGTTGTATGTTCTTGATTTCATATGTTTTGAAAGTTTCAAAAATTTCAATTCCAAAATTGTCCTTTGCAATATTACAAAGAAACCAAATGAAGTAATTTAATAAAAATATAAATGTAGTTGCATTGAAAAGCAAATTTAAATAAATTAAAATATTTAAACAAAATTTAGAGACGAAAACCCGAAACTTAAACAAATGTTGTAACGAATGATATTATGGAAATCCGCCTCATTGCAATCAACTGTTGAATATTTTAATTTTTACACAAAATATACTAAACAAAATGACATATTTTGAAATACCTAAAGAAAGCATATAATATATAGAAATATATAATATATATATATATACGTTTATATAGTATATGAAAGTTGACGCACCAAAGTGAAAAGGCAAACTAAACTGTATCTGTACCTAAGAGATATTTTTTCCTGATTTCAGCTCGACGATAATGTAAGCTAATATAGCAAATCTCTCGCTCGATATAAATAAACATTAAACCAAAAATATATATATATTATGGTAAATACTGTAAAACATTATTATTAAACTATTGTTGATAGCAAATTTGATTGGATATTTTCTAGTTACGATACGCTAGTTCTTGTGTACAGCACCATATTTCTTGAGATTTTTCGGGTAGATGAACTTTTAGTATTATGCATTCTGTAAAACTGCACTCACTCAGTTATGTTCGTTGAGCCGATACTTAAAGAAATCTCTCTCTATATATATATTATATTATATTGAAAAAAAAAAATGGAAAAAATGATACTCATATATGGTATACACTTATATAAGAATGTACAAGTATTATACACAATGCGCATACATATGATACAAAGGATACAACAATACCCAACCCAAAACCAAGAACCCCCCCCAAAAAAACTGACAAGTGAGTAGACGAAAAAGAAAAGCAAGAAATCATGTAATTATGTATGTTTAATAAAACGTTTAACTACCGAGTGAAGTCTAAAGACAAAGGCACAAATATCTTTTGCCAACCATCTGTGTTTGTTCTTGGTCTTTATATAGTAACCTATATAAATCGGGTCGGTCGTTCGTGACGAGCAAATATAATGCAACTGTGGCCGTTGCTCTTTTCTTGGGTGTTCTGTTTGGCTTTTGGTCAGCTCAATGGAACACCGGTGTATTCACCACCGAAAGCACCTGTGCTTCTGCCACTTCCTGATAACAACAATCCCAGGAGAGCTCCACCAGTGTTCAGACCTATTCCCCGACCACCCCCTCCAAGGCCAAAACCACCGGCACCTAGGATAACACCATCGCCTCCTAGGCCAACACCACCGCGTTATGTACGACCACCGACAGCACCACCCAGAAGACCAACCATACCACGTCCCAAGCCCACCAGAAGAGTTCCCATTACAAGGAAGCCCACAAGAAGAATCCCCAAGCCACCAGTAACCAGAAGACCCACTGTCAGAACTCGACCACCTCTAGTGCCAACGACTCGAAAGTTTTTGATTTGGTCAAGGATTCCCACTAGACTATTACCTACCAAGCCAAATAGAAGGCCCACTTTGTGGACTAGGCCACCAGTGCGTCCTCCGTTGCCAACTATTCGTCCCACGCGGCCAAGAGTTGGTCCTACTCTATGGACAAGACCACCCGTAAGGGTGACAGTGAGACCCACCATAAGACCTACTATGAGACCCACTATTAGGGCCACTGTAAGACCCCCTGTTAGACCCACTATAAGACCCACCTTAAGACCCACGAGAAGAGCTACTCTGTGGACTAGACAACCAGTAACAAATAGAGCTACGAGTGCCACAAGAAGACCGACTAATAGAGCCACCTTGTGGACAAGGCCTCCAACAGTTCGGCCTACAAATCGAGTGACTAATCCTCGTTCTACTTTATGGACCAGGCCTTGGACTAGATCCACCAGAGGATTAACATTTATTTTCAATGATTCCACACCAACACTTGCAACGCCACGTCCAATTATAACCACTAGACCTCCAAATCCGAACCTAACTAGATCTACCAGAAGGTTAATATTTATATTCCCAAGGGACTCCACTCTAGCTACACGTCGTCCACGTTGGACTGTCCATCCTACAGACCGACCGACAAGAGTTGTTACTTTGAGGAGCTGAAAATAATGGCGGAGGTGAAATAAAATATTGTAGTTAAAAACATTATATAATTTCCATTTCCCTAATGTATGAACTTTATATATCTTCTGCATTCACGCGATGTTTAAGTCCATAAAACTTAGCATGCAGTTAAGGTCTTTAAATATTGCACTAAGTTGCAATGGAAAGGTAAAATAATTAAAGAAAGTAAAGCTGAGAATGACAGCCTTTGGAGTACCCTATGAAGTATCTAATATTATGAGTTAAATTAATAAGGAAAAAGAAATTATTTTCATATTTTATGAAGTAAAAGAAAAGCTCTTATACTGGAAAATATATTCGTGGTATGCAATGTTCTGTAAAGTCCAATAAGGTAATAAAAATAGAAATAATTAAAAAAAAATGTACTTGGAAGACCATTAAAATAGTTAAAATCAAGTTTTTAATTAAGTTTTTCACATAACAGCTTCTTCCCTCGAGTTAAGCCCCAAATCCAAAGCCATGAAATAAACGCAAACTAAACTTAAACTCAGTTTAATGCACAGCAAATTTTACCGAACTTAGAGTCCGACTTTAACGACCCCATCTCCTTGACAAATAGCCTTCAAGTGCCAACATACCCAACCTAAATCCACGGAAACTGAAGGGAGAGAAGAGGGTGAAAAGTAGTTGCGGCATACCGGAAACGCTTCAAGTTTGCTGAGCTCATTCGTCTCTGCGATTTGTTGGCATTTCAACGGGCTGACGTGCTGGCTGCCAGTGGGCGGTATGAAGGGGTGTGGGTGATGGGGTCGCAGGGGCGTGGTGCAATGCCTGCTCATGCAATGATAAATGAAGTTTTAGTGGCTTTTGACCCATTTAATAAATTGTTAAAGTTGAAGAATGCACAAGAATATTGTAAACTTGTTGGCCACCATTTCTTTTCCTCATTTTATATTATATACGAGTATATTTCCATTTCCCTTTTTTATTTGTATTTTAATTTTATTTTTATTTCGTATTTTTATTCATATTTAGTTGCTGTTGCTGTTGGCGCATTCTGAATTAGGGTTAATTTAAAAGTTGCCCATTGCAACACTGACTGACCCATGGTGAGCTGGAAGTTGTTGCCATGTTGCAAAACTTTGCCGCTCACTTTTCATGCCCCACTTCAGAAGTTTTGTTGAATTTTAAATAATTCTGTTAAATTGCATAACGTGCCCAGCTGTCCGGCTCTCCAACGTCCAACGTCCAACGTCCTGGGAACTTTGGACTTTCTGCTTATTAAGTTAGCGGCGAGGACAGTTTTCAGTTAACGGATTATGTGCCATTAAAAAATTGTATATTATCCACGACTATCCACAGTGGAGTGGTGGAAAAAACTTGACTCAAATATCCATGACAATAAATAAGAAAAAGGGGATGAGTGAGGAGGAGGAGGGGAATCCTCTCTAGCCATAATAAGCAGCATAAAAAGTCCTGGCAAGGCTCTATTAGAGCCACGACTAAGCAGCTTGGTCTGTCCTCTTGCCCATCCAAAAAAAAAATAAAAAGTGGAGAATATAAAGTATGCGCTGGCAACTCTTCCTCGTGGAATCCTTTTGGCCCCCATTCCCTGTCAAATATATATATATTCTCAGCTATATAAACAATTTTCTTTTATGCCAGAATAACAAGCAACAAGAATGGATTTTTGCATAAGAAAGCCCCGGACTGAAGTTGAAGTACGATGGCAAAGCAAAAATCCTCGCAAGGAAGCTGCTGCTGCCGCTGCTGCTGCTGCTCCTGCTGCTGCTGCACAAAACCCAGGGCCAAATGCAATCCGAGCTTTGTGTTCCCATGAACAATTGGACTCTGGCAGGCTTGGCTTTTGATTGGGGGATTAGTGGTGGCGCTCCAGGGATTCCAGGATGGCATCAAAAAGTGGATATCAATGCGTGGGCGATGCACCCAGGCTACCAGTAAATATATGTGGATTTGGTGACCCATTTGGAATAACTCCATTGAATCCTCTTCTTTTTTCCAAACCCAAGGGTTATGATAAATTCTTTAGATCATCAGCCAGTTGGTAGCTCACTTCTTTGAAGATTTATGGAGCAGTGTGTTCTTTGGTTTGAAAAATCTGTGGATTAGTTTGACTTATGTCTTAGGTGTTATTAGTTTGCTTACTAACTTAAATATGATGAGATTTATGCTTTGGTTAAGCTTTGAAATTTCTTAAAAATCATGATTTTAAAAGCAATTCAATACTTCCCAACTTATATTACTCCCATATCTTATTCTTTACATGATTTAGTTCGAAACTTAACAAACCTTTTTACCCCCCTTAAATAATTTTATAATATTTCTTATACAATCTCAAAAATCCCATCTTATTTTCAATTTAAACCCTTGGAAAAATGATCATCTTAAAAGTTCGCACAGTTTTTCATTTTCTATCCTAGCTTATGTTAAAGGCAACATTTGCAAGAGAACCGCAAAGACGAAGCTGAAGGAAAACTCCCACTGCAAGGGGTGGTAAAGTGGAAACAGAGGGGAAAAGTGGGAAACCAATGTCGACGACATTCAGCCGCAAGAAGTTGTTGGACGGGAAAAAAGGGGGAAGATGGCGGGCAAAAAGTGCTGAGCATAAATAAGACATTTGCGTGTGTAAGCAGCAACAACAGCACAGCAAAACAACAACGATGGCTTAAAATAACTCCAACACGCAACATTGAAATGTGGCTAAAAAGAAGAAGTAAAAGGAGAAGCTGCTGACTCTTGGTTGCAGGTTCTGCAATAATTTTCAAACTGCTTTCGCCCCGAGAATCTCGAAAGTTGCAAAAAGTAAATGTAATGCAAAATGCAAAGTCATCGCTCGCCGTTGTCCTCGAGTGGCTGTAACGCCATTCTTCTTTTTTAACCGAACCCACTGCCCTTTTCCCTCAATCATCTATGCCCCTTTGACTTTTTAATACACTGAAAAAGTTGGGTTTTGAAACTAAAATGTTTGTCCTGAGATTGTTGACAAAATATAGATTTTCATAGAGTGTAAGAATTTCGTTTTCTGTTTCTAAAATTTGTATTTGACGACTTAAAAATGTATTTAATTTTTTTATAAAAATAAGAGTACATAAAAAATGAATAAAATAATTTAAAAAAAATTTGAAAAATATTTATTTAGGGTTATAAGGATTTTAATTTAATATTTTAAGGTGAAATTTCTTACTAAATCGACTTTTATTTACATCATTTTCTACATTCCTATGTAAAATTCCATAATAATTTTTAGAACACATTTTTCTCAGTGTATTTTTCCCACAATTATTGTGATTTTTTCCCTCAGTGTCCAACCAATTGTTGTGATTTTTTTCCATCCTCCGACTCGTGCACATGCATTTATTTAAATTTCTTTGTCCTCGTGTCTAGGAGTCCTTCGCCCACCCGCTCATTTCGCCAATGTATTCATTGTCTGTGAAATTGTTGTGTGTTTCCATGCCGTCGCATAATGTCTCTCTTTGCTCTCTACGTGCTCCTCATTCCGGCTTTCCAACCATCCCTCCCTACCCTTTAGGGAGGTGCAATCCTTGTTGCGACTGCAGTTTGCGGTTTTTAACTTGTGACAGTTTTAAGTGGCTGCCGTTTGTCTCCGTGGCTAGATTCATTCACATTTACATTCACATAAGCTGAATGCCCAGCCACATACGTGGGTGCTCTGAGATTTAGCCAAATTGTAATGCTCCTTATTCGCTGCTTATGCATAAATCGTTGCCCATAATGATGCTAAGTAAGCAGCTCCATTTACCCCCCAGCTGGGATGAGCGCTATTTGAGCCTGATTAAATAAATTCCCATTCACTGAACGTTTTGCGAAATTAACTTTGCGGCTTTTGGGTGTTTTGAAAAAGATTTTGAGATAAACGTAGAAGCTAAAAATGTGAAAAGGTTGGAACATTTGGAAATAGTTACATGAGAAAGAATCTCTCCTCTAGCTAAGAAGGAAGGTTAAAAACACTCATACGCAGTGTGGTGTTTTTCACATGAATTTTTGATATGAATTTGTCTAGACAAAGGATTTATGTTAGCTTTAAAAACAGCATGATATATATTTTTAATTTAAGTTAAAAACTTTAAATAATTTAGCAAGTTCACTGAGCTTATTTAGCTAAATTTTTATTATATTTTTCTTAAAATTCCTTAAAGAACAACAAACTACTTTTACTTGCATTTTCAGCAGAACGACGAGACTTTTTCATTTGACAAAGCCAACTCTATACTACCAAGGGTTTCCGCCTATCTTTCATAGTTTCTTCCGCTTCCCTGGCCATTTCAGTTTTCAATCACGCCTCTTCAGCAGCAGACCCAGTTGGCTTTGCCTGCATTTACCTGGCTGGGTTGGGGTTAAAGCCGTAATACCTGCCCAAGCACCCTTTACCGCCCATTGTCAATATGCGGTCTTTTGCTGCCTACGTTTCAGGCCACGCCCCCCCCCCATCCCTTCTCCTGATGAGGGGGCCCCGAAAGAAGAACGCACTTAGCTGTTGGCAGCATCATAATCCATAGTTTCCTGGCGCTGCCAACAACCTTTGGCTTTTGTTGTTGCTCGTCCTGGAGTCCTGCGCCCAGAACAAAAGGAAAACAATTTTCATGCGTGCATGGCAAAAATCAAAAGAAAGGGCCAACCCATACAAACACACACACACACACACTCGTGCACATCAACCAGCCCAACAATGCCTATTTTAGTGAGATAAGAAAGGAGAAATGGCACGGCAGCATCAGCATCAGCAGGTCCTTCAAAGCAATTTCCAAGTGGCCCCGTTCTCGGGGTTTTAACCATAGACATCGGTAACATCACATATTCGTGGGCCCAGCTAAAGGTGAGTCTGGCAGTCCAGGAACAGCACCGAAAAGTCAGCGACTCATTTCACTCATCGCTTAAGTGGCTGTTCACAGATTTTCCAGGGATTCAGCGTTTGACGATACCCTTTGAAGGGGTTTTAGCTGGAAGAATCAAAGATTACTTTATGGTTGAATTTAGCAATCATTAAATTAGAGATTTTA